AAAAACTGTAACTGCGAGAATATTGTCTGATTCTGGCCGGTGTCAGAAGCATGAAATTCAACTTCATGTAAGTTTACGCGTCGCAGGCGGATACGCCAAAACTCTATTTGCAAAATTTTCGGTATCCTTCCCTTACGGCAGATAGGCGTGCTAGAAAGCTGCCACTTTTTTCACACTTTTTTTTAAGCCACAGCGTAAAACCACTGTCTCTCTCTCTATTTCCTGTAAGTGGAAGAAAAGACCGATCAGAACATTTTCAACTTAAGCGCACAAATTAAATTGCATTGCAACAACTACTCATATTGTCAGTGATCTCATTAATGCGCGAAACCACGCAAAACATACTACTGCACCAGCAATCTGCCAACTGTTGAAATTCTTTTCTTGCATCAAAATTTAGCCTCAGACTGAGAAGAAAATTCCATTCATGTTATTTTCATACTTACACTGCATATCTAAGCCGGTGTGTGGACGAAATTCAGCTGCATTAGTAACATCGAATCTGTCTCACAGAAATTATCAGAACAGTCTTAAAAATGCGCAAATTCGGCTGCAATTACCTTCACGTTCAACCTTTTTGTTCAAGCCGTACGAAATAGTATCGTTTGGGGTAATACGTGAACCTTGCTTGCTGTAAAAGCTTTCATATCCGGAACCTGTTCCGCCATAATTAGACGACGGCGACTCACATTCCGAATCGTCATTCGACGCCTTGATTTTCTTAAAAAAACTAAGAGTTACCTAGCTTTTAAATTGTCGAATGGATGCAGATACTGTTATCTTTGGTTCAGTACACTCATCAGTATATCCAAAAATTTCTGATACCTTCATAACAGATGTCACTGCTAGCTTGTACGACGCTTTACGAGATTCAGTTTCTTGCTTCCTCCCATGCAAACGTAATACAAATCGATGATTTCATATGCATGCAGAGAGACCAGAGTAATAGGACATCGTAGAGCTGTGCTCAGTGATTAGCTTTGTCTTACCATTACAATAAGCTCCGTAGAAAAAGACCAAGTTATTCTATTGTTTCGAACACAGGACGTACACATCCTGTTGATCCTACTACTCTCAAATATTGCTCTCTTTAAAAGTCTTTCTTTAATGAGGTGAGACTTCCGTACTGTAAGAGTGGGCTTTCGATGAAAACAACGAATAGTATGAACCTTGGATGATAATCTGGAAGCAACCGCACAAGGCCGACCGTGAACACAGCACTCAAGCTGTCGTAACTCCTTGCGTGAATCACCAAATTCAGAAGTTGACTGCATCGGTGAAAGCTGCTGTCCGCCCCACTCACTGGTCAGCAACTACAATAACAGCGAACACTTCTTTATCAAAAAACCCAGGCTGGAACGCACCAGGCGGGCCGGTGCGATTATGCGTTTTTGCACTTCTCGTGC